TCCAATTGCTTATGTCTAGGATTTTTATTTTTTGTTTTTGCACTTTTGAAATCTCGTTAGTAATCGAAGCTCCGAATCACCTTCATTGAGAAAATAACTGGAGATCAGAATTTATTTCATACTCGGCTACAAACAATCATACAATGAGGTGGAAGAGCAATACCTTGAGTTAGTTCCGAGAAAATATGGGTTGATTCTAACATGTTGGCATTGTTGTTAGAGTCGGATAGACCAAAATAAGCATGTCATATTCAAATTTCATAATTTTCTTCAACTTCATGAATGATTGTCAGCTTTCCACTACGACCTGCATAGTGCCCGACAAAAGTTGTAGGGCAATTTTTCTACATCAAATGCATACACTCTAAACTATCCAACATTCCTAGAAAATCACATATCCGACCAGTATATAGAAATCTAGAAATATAATTAGTTGTGGGTCTCCTCAAATAACGCTCGTCATGTACCTCGACTATCGGTCGACATAAACTTTTAATGCTTTTAACTGCAACAGACTCTCCAATTTCAACATACTCGTCCGTAGCATCTGTTGTAACTGTTTTGTATGTTTTTGTTGTTATTTCATGTACTTTTATGTGTTTTATTATTTCATGTACTTTTATGTGTTTTATTTGTGTTCGTTTTATTCTATTTTAGATTTTTCCTGGTCCACTTAGTCGTTTTTGCTCGTTTTTGGGTTAATATAGGAGCGTTCATGAGTTGATTATGCTATCATCCTCATAGGCTAGAGATTATGTAATATTGTTATTGATTGCGTAAGCTGAATTGCGTGAGCTAGAATTGATTGAGAGACCGAGTGATTGATTACGAGTGACGATTGCTTTGATTGCATGTTCCCAAACCTATGAGTGCCTTCCTTCCATCTCGGGTCTAGGGTACCTTGTTTTTTCTCTCTATTTTTTATTCCTAGCATTTGAGGACTTGCTTGCTTTAGTTTAGTTTAAAATTGCGTTCTTTAGCTTAATCCAAACCCCAAATTGCGAGTAGAGTGTTTAGGATCTTTATTTTCTTTTCTTGTGTGAGTCGATCGCTGCTTGAATCCGTGTCCGAATAGCCTTCCTTTGAGAATGACCCGAGTCCAGATAACTCGGTTATCAACTACCCAAAAATACTACAAACAGTAACATTGTGTGCCAACATACGAAAGACAACCATCATTTTTTGTGTTGGAAATAATCCAAGTCTACCAGCTTGATCGACAATTTGTTGGAAGTAATGATCATGATCTTTGACTGCATCGACAATTCGATGGAACAACGAGCGACATTTGATATCTTCTGCAAAAGTGTTGTTCGTACAAGATCTCAAATTTCAATGCGGGTGGAAATACAATTACGTTTGTGAAATTTTTAAGAATTTTGAAAATTGTAAAGATGGAGCTAAGAGCAACAAGAAAAAACAAGCTGGTCATTATCCCTGTTTGGAGTCAGAAAACCCGATACTTAGCCAATCAGTCAATCCACCACATGAATTTTCCATTTTTCATAAACTTAGGTGACTCAGATGATTTTCCATCTGAAAGAACTATTGGGAGTGAAGAAGACAAACTAAAAAAAGAAAATAAATGATGATTCATTATCGATCGCTAACACCATGTAGGAAGCAAACAAAAAACTTCCTGAGGAGTTAGAAAAAACAAATGAAAAAATGAAACACAAACTGTAAATGCAAAACAAATCTCACGCTCTAAAAAGAAAAGAGAGAAGAAACCAAATTTTGTTTTAAGATGTCATTTCCATAAAAAGGTGGAAAGACACGAATCTTGAAGAAAATAGCTCAACAATCTACATCAGATTCATTTTCAACCAATACATTTAACAAGTTTTTCAATGATCTTGTAGGAAGCGGTGCCAACTCATGAGATTACAAGTATCATGTGTTTGTTTTTAGTTTTTTTTGGTTTATAATGTATTTCTATTTTTAGTACTTTGTGATGTTGTATTTCATTTCCTGCACTCTTTTTTTTTTTTATGGAAATCTATCACGAAATTTTTTAATCGTATTTCAATCTACCTTTGTAATTTTGTCACTGTTTATGTTAATGTTTCATTTTGTTTTCTTTTATAATTTATTCATAGCTTTTGTGATAACTATTTCTACAAGTAAAATAAAATTATCATTAATAATACATATATTTTACGCTATTATTGTGAAAAATATAATATTAAATGATAAATATGATATTTATTATTTCAAATATTATATTATCTAATTTTCATGAAATTAATATTTTTTTAGTATCTTAATGCAGAAAATATAAAACTAATATGTATATTTTACATTATTATATTGTGAATGTATAAACTATAAAATAATATGATATTTATTATTTTAAATATAATATTATCTAAATCTCATGATTTTTTTTAAAAAAGAAGAGAAATAAAAAATTACACCCAGTTTGCCAATTTATAAGATATTTTTCGTGTATTACAATTAAAAAATGAAATATAATTTTTTCTTTTAAATCCATTTTCCAATTCGTAAAATAAAAAAAATACCAAATAAAAAAAATGAGAAGAGAGAAGAGGAAAAACAATTTTGCGATCCGTTTTGACATTCACTTGGAGTGAATTATATTTTACTGTAAATTTTTGGGTTTTGTCATTTTGTTGGAGAATGTCTAAAGAGCATTGAGATTGAAAATTTGACTCCTTCAAAACTCCTTTTTTTTTTTTTTAAATTTCATTCAATGAAATGAGCTTAATTAATTTCTTTTAATGCAAGATTTTTCTTATTGAAGTAAGGCAAAAGACTTTAATAGGTGATTTATATAATTTAAAATAGTTAGTATAAATATTTAATATATTAAAATATGAAAATAAGTTGACAATCTATGTTGAAACACACTTTGGTGCGTTGTGATTTTGGACTTGATAGCTATGTACACGAATGACAAGAGGTTTAATTGCATTGACAAACTATATAATAAAATAATGATACATATATATATAATCGGATTTAATTATTTTTGGCTTGGTATTGACCTAGCTAGCTACATAATATTATGCAATATTGTGTTATATATGAAATTAGATATCCATGATTACTTACAAATACTCTTTTAATAATGCTCCTTGATCAATACGTAATTGACATATATATATATATATACATATACTTCTATATATGTGAACATATAATTGTTAGGGCGGCTATAGTCCCATAGGAAATGATTCCCTCGTTCCAATATAAGTCAGTAAATGTTTGATACAGATTCTTAGATGTACTCAATAAATGCTGACGTGATAATTATTAATTAGAGTTTTATTATTTCGTTACATGACTTTAGCATTTTCTAATTGAAATTAAACTATTAATATAGCGAAGGCAACTCTGATCGGGTTCGAGAGTGGAGGGATTGATGTGTGAAATAATTCGATAGATCGATTCTTAGGTCGAAAGAAGTTTGCTTACTGATATGGTGAGTTTAGGGTATGTTTGAGTTTAGTATCCTCGAATGATATATTCTCGAGTTATTATCAAGCGTTACGGACTATAATTTGGTGCAATTGGTCGAAGGAGGATATAGGATTTTGAGATGAAGCCTTCAAGGAGCTCTATTGACATAGGAAAGGAGATTTGGTATTTCTGAAAAATATTTACCGCGATAAGAACAAAGTTCGAAGGCCGAGGTCCATACAACCCATACAAATGAGAATGAAGAAGCCACCACTTTTGACTACCAACCAGAGATAATGGAAACTCACGGCATAGGCAAAAACGCTAGACACCAGTGAGCCTCCCTCATCTCCCGCTATCACACATAAAAGTTAAAATAGCGATCCCAAAAATAGCTAGCCAATAATCTGAAAGCCCGGAAACATAAACATTTTGTTTAGTTTCTATGTACTTTTTACCAACTAATTTGGTTCCAAAAGTTGAAAAGGACTTGATTATAAGTGTTTTAATTGCATTTCTTCAATGTTACTAATAATTTTTCGTGACACAAAAATTTTAAATGTAGATGAATGAATCAGTTCTTTGATAAGTCTTACGTCAGCAAGTAATTATATTTACGTCAGCAATTCCAATAAGATTGGATTACATTGATGATTTAATTCAAAAATCAATTTAACTCACATGATATTTTTTTAAATGAATATAAATATTACTTATATTTTTAAATGTTATACTTTCTTTTATATCATTTTGTACAACAACATGATATTTTTAATAATAATATGTATATTTAAAATGAAAAAAAAAATCCATTTAACAAAATAAAAATAAAAATAATAATAAAATATAATAACAGATTCATAATTAAACACACACGGGAAATTATTTCCTCAAATTATTTTCGTGTGACTTTAAAATAGCCCAAATTAACCAATACGGGTTGGCTCAAGTGGTAAGCAACTTGATGTCGCTTAAGCAAGGTTCGAGTTCGAGTTCTTGTGGATGCAGAAGAGAAAACCCTTGTTGGGAGACTTACCCACTACTGATTGGTGTGCGACTCGAGTCGACCAACCGATTAGTCGGAGTATAGTTCCGAATACCGTGGCTGGCTAAAAAAA